GAGAAAGCGCTGCTTTGCAATTTATAAGTTTAAACTTTTAATAATTTCCTACTCTACTTGTATAATATAACCTAGCTATATATTTTTATCATTTAACTCCTTCAAATTTCTTTCATATTAAATATTCGTAATTATAAATGTTGTTTGTCTAGAAAACATTTGGATAAAAACAATTCGGCATTCGTCGAAGAAACAGATTCGGACGTAGAAGTATACTTGGACGAAATACCACATTCAGTCTACAATAACGTTATACATCATATTCAAACAACACCCAGAGTGGTGAGTACTTGGGTAAACCAAGAAAACAACCAGGAAATGTTCAAATTCGAATGTAGTATTAACTGTCGTTCTTTGTATTTAAATTATTTGGAAACATCGAAGAAGATTAAAAATAAAGTGAACGAAAAGCAGTTTAAAAAAATATATAACAGATATGTTAAGAAAAGTTTTATGGTATAATTTCGAATATTTCGATTAACATTTTTATTAAATGACAATCAAATTCGTACCTTAATATTCCATATTATTCCATAATATTATATTATGTACAGGACTTTTTTCCATGCTATTACAAATAATAATTAAAATATTTGATAACATAACGCATGTTTAAATTATATGGCTATAATTGTTTATGATGCGTAAATAAATACAATAAATCATAATTCATAATATAGTCTTTTTTGTCACGTCWGTAACTGTAACCACTATATTACATGGGGTTGAACTGTTTTCTGAGATAATGACTGTTTTACGTTGGTTCAATGGGATAATCCCATATTATAAACGCATAGTTAAAACTGTTATTCATAAATGGAAATTAATTCACTAAAATATTTCAATTTTTCTAATTTTGATAAATAATAGATATTGTACAGTTTTTAATTTTTTTATCAATAATCATAACGCTTGTGGTTATAGAAAAAATCTTAGATACTAGTATATGATCTAAGGAAAAAATGTACACATYATGGGTGATAAACTGATAATAAATAATAATATTCATATATATATAATGAGTATTTTAAAATTTAAAATTATTTTTATATCTAAAAATACTCATAACTCGGTTTAAAATTAAAATATAATAAAAAGCCTATGAGATGCCCTCGGTAATAATCTTGCCTTTAATTTTTATAATAGGTCAATTCACTCTAAATTTTAAATTGAAGGAGATAAACGAGATTTTTTTAGCGTAAAATTTGCTATGCTACGCACTTGTACGACGAAGAAAACACATGCGGGTGTGGCGTCCTCTTAAGGCTTGCGGGGTAAACGAAAATGGCTAGATCAGGAGATTTAAGTAAAAACAAATGACTACTCATTTTTAATTTAAATATTAAAAGGTAAATGTAGGTTTCCTATTAACCTATTTCAATAATATAATTATTAATTAGTACACAATTTTCATTTAAAAAAATCAACATGAATCATTCCGATAATTGTCGTGTTGGGATAAGACGTGAGAATAAAAGAAGGTTAATTGCTAAATAATAGAAGAAAAAAATTAATGTAAGAAAACATTTTTTTTAATAAAGCATAATTAATTGTACTTGAACTATACAGGTGTTCTGGTGTTCATGATTTATATATAACATTGACCATTATTAATACATTATGGCTTTTGTCCATGATTTGAACTCAGACTTCAATACCATAATACGGAATATTTCAATTTTTAGTTCTGTTATTTATGTTTTGTAATTTTCTATTTTTCTATGTAACTGCTAGAACGTAGAATTTTGTTAATCATATTAAACATTAATAGGTACATTATACACAGTGCTGTAGTCCTAAAAAAAGCAGAGGGTATACTATATTACTATGAGTTATAATATTAAACATTCATACTATCATTAGGTATCACTTTGGTAGAGGGTAAATAACACAACATACATACATTAATTGTGAAAATTAAAATTAAAACTAAACATTTTTTCTAAATAAATTTATTGAAAAATATTCCATAAATGTTGTCTGGATTCCGATTTTGTTAAATTATTTCTTTTCAATATTAATAATAATCGAATGACTTTTATATTTATATTATTTGGTAATTTCATTACAACAGAGAGTAATGAGTATACGACCTTAATCAGCAGGTATACGGAGTTTATTAGAAATAACCAGAAAGTATACGGCGCATACCGTATATACCGTCGTATACCCTCCACTACACGTAATAATTAATAGTGAATTTAAAAAACCGCCAATTGCCATATCATCTTTCATCAATGTCGTACCATACTTCAGTCTTATATGTTATCATTAACTACATTTCTAATTTCTATTTTGCTGCTGWATGCTGATTGCTTTTGCTGATAAACACTACATTACTACAATAAAGCACGTGAKATTCAACAAAATAAAAATTACTGTTTTACTAATAATTAAATATTTTTATAGTTAATTCATTTAATATAGTAATATACCTATTTTCAATTTTATTAGGTAGCCAATTTGGACATAACTTTTGTTCTGTTTTCTTAAAATGGCCGTTATTCAAAGAGTTGTGTATGTATTTGACCAAACTATTAAATTCCATTGATTGTAATTGAAATCTTACTTTTATAGGAAACCGAGGACAAAACGAGGTAAAAGAATTTTGTTAAAAAAAGAACCTAAGATAATAGAAAACACTAAACACTGTGTATTTATTCCTGGTCGTAAATCATCTTTAATAGTCAGCAGCTGTATGAAAGATTTGGTAAGTTTAAATTGAATTATGATGAATGGTTTAATTTATTAGCAATTGTCAATAGTTGAAACTCAAAAAGCCAGATGCCGTAATGTTAACTCATAAAAATGATATTTTACCATTCGACGACGCCGTGCAAATTGAAAAATTATTACAGAAGCATGATTCATCTTTATTTTTTTTTTCATCACATAATAAGAAAAGACCAAACAATTTGGTACTTGGTAAGTATTAAGTTATATATATATATATGTATAAAATATCTCAGCATTTAAAATAAATAATATGTATTTTAAATTATTAATGCCGGTGGCAAAAGCACTAATACCCCACCGAAAATCATACTATAACCAACTAAATAATAAACTAAAGAAAGGACTCCAATAACACAACTCCATCACTTTTCTACAATATATCCAAAACTTAACAACCCATAACTCTTATCTTTTGAAAATGATAAAAAAAATCCTTAAAACTGTTTCCACTTCCTCTCCTCTCTGTGAAGAAGATAATTCATGGGCAGTTTCTGACACAGAAAAAGCAAACCTCTTTGGCTAACATCTATCCCAAACTTTCACTACTCATGATATAACTCTAAATCCCACTCAAACCCAAATTGTCACACATTCCTTAGAGTCTGCGTTACCTGTCTCGCTTTCAGCTAAACACCAGTCCTGGAGAAATCGAATTCATTATTAAGAAACTTCATTACAGAAAAGCTCTTGTGTTTGATCAAATTACAAATTGTTCTGCCAAAAACCTACTCAAAAAAGTTATATTACTTTCCTATATCTATAACCCTTTGCTGCGCTTATCGTATTACCCCCTTACCTAGACATTTTTAGAGATAATAGTGATTTCAAAACCCAATAAACCTCCTGAAAAAGTAACTTCTTACTGCCCTATAAGCTTATTCCTAACATTATCCAAAGTTTTCCAAAAATGCCTTTCTAAAGAGCCTCTCTAACTAGTCTAACTACTTCAACATATTAAATATTTGCTAGAGTTATCCAAGACAGCGATATTGCTCCCTTTCAATACAATATTTTTACAGACGATATTTCCAAAACTTCTTTTACTGAATTCGGTTCCTATGCGGACGACACGGCAATTGTGACTTCCAATGAAAACTCAATCATTGTTTCTAGTATGTTACAAAGACACCTCAACATAATCAAACTTTCGAAAAAAATATGGAAAATTAAAATGAAAGAATTCAAGTCCTCCTTCATTACATTCACCCTAAGAAAAGTATCTTGCCTATTAGTTACAATGAAAAACATTCCAATCCATTCCTACCCAGAAGTCAAATATCTTGGTCTCATCCTTGACAATAAATTAACCTGGAATCCTTAACTAAAAGCCAAAAGAAAAGCCCCTTATACCCGTCTCCACTTTCTTAGACCTCTATTGAAGTCTAAAATGAATATAAACACCAAACTACTTATTTATAAATCTTTACTCAGACCACTATGGACTACGGCGTGCAATTATAGGGTGCTGCTAAAGCTAAACCTTCTAACATTGGTACAATCCAAGCCTTTCAGTCAATATGTCTTCATCTAGTTTCATCTGCAACTAGGTACCTAACCATCAACAATCTCCATAAAAACCTTAAAATCCAAAATATTAATCAAATATCCAAATTATATTACACCAGATTTCTTAATAAACTTCAACAACACAAATCCACTAATCTTTAAATTATCAACGAACATACTCCCTCGTAACCCACACCAATGACTTTAAAGGCAATGGTGTAGAGATATTATTCTTCCGTAAGCAAGCTGAATAAGTGCTGGGTATTTCTCCTAGGTAACACCTTTCAAAATTTATAATTTATTATTGTTACTTACTGCACTTATAGGATGTTACCACTGGGTATCCTCCCTAATCATTCAATTCATGTTATTTAACTTGTTTTTTTTTCTGTCTCCTATCAAACCTACTCATTGTACAATGAATATGTATAGATTGTAGATTTCGTCAATAAAATTAAAAAATATATATATATATATATATATTATGCAATTTCGTTCTTTTTTTAATAAGTCATGTAGTTAATAATACATCCTATGACAAATGTTTTATTAGACAATTAAATGTAAGTTACATTTTATAAGTACTTATGATTTTAACTATACTCTGTGCCACTAGCAGTGGCGTGCTGCACAGCTATTTTTTGAGGCAACTGCCTCAGAGAAAATACGGGTGGGTGGGTGGATGGGTTACTATTATAGGTGTGCAACTGACCAACTGGGCACTAGTTTGATAATACATTTTAAATATCATATAAATGTAWACAATTTTTTATTAAGTGAAAAACCTGATGGTTGTAGGGTGGGTGTCAAATTGTAAAGTTTGCCTCAAGTCTGAAAAATGTTCTGCACGCCACTGGCCACTAGAGAATGCATACGGTGTCCAACCAATTTCAGTTCTTTCTTGCTCATCCGTCGCTGTATATACTAGTCAGTTGCTGTGTGGGGGGGAGGAGGGTAAAATGTGGCCTCAAAATAACAGAGCTCGATCATCAAGATGTGTATGCCGCATGTGTTCTCTCGTGGCATTGAGTATAGCATGACTTAATTGAAAATTATACATATTGTTATTTAAAATTGTTTTTACAATATTTTAAATACCTTTAATCATTACTTTACACTAAATAAAAAAATTATTATTTGTTTTACAGGCCGTACTTATGACCAACACATATTAGATATGTTTGAATTAGGTATCGAATCATACAAAGGGTGTAGTGAATTTAAAGGCTTATCTGAAATTTCAGCTGGTGTAAAACCAGTTTTGGTTTTCTTAGGTGAACAATTTGACAGTGATCAACAACTAAAACGTTTACGCAATTTGTTCATAGACATGTTTCAAAGGCAACCACTCAAACAGATAAGACCTAATGGTATTGAACATGTCATGTCTTTCACAGCAGTTGATAGTAAAATACTATTACGTTCTTATAGGTAGTCTTCACACAATCTTATATTAATAGAGTAACTTAATGTTTTTTATTATTATTATTTTTCATTAGGACAGTTTTGTCAAAAACCAGTTTAAAAACTCCACGTGTTGAGCTACATGAAGTAGGTCCATCTGTTGATTTTGTAGTTAGAAGAGATCATATGGCTAGTGCTGATCTATTTAAAACTGCGTGCAAAAGACCCAACATTAAGGTATATATGTCTTTTTAGGGATTACATCAATATATAGTTAGTATATAACTAAAATTTTTATTTTAATATTTAGGGTAAAAAAATCAAGAGTGTACGTCGTGACAATTTCGGATCTAAATTGGGTCGGCTGCATATGACTAAACAAGATGTGAATACATTGCAAACAAGGAAGATGAAGGGTTTGAAGAAAACTTATGCAGAGAGGAAAATTAAAAGGAAGAGCGATGAAGATAAAAATGGACCAGCAGTTAAAAAACCCAAAGTTGCAACTCAAAATAAAAAATTGAAGAAATTTAGTAAGAAAGGAAGGAAATTAAGAGGTGGACAAGTTTAACAATTTTTAAATTTTTATAATTAATGTATAATAATAATAAATAAAATCTAAAAAAATCATTGTTATAAAAAATGAGAAAAAAATRTATAACACTACTTTTCTGTGCTTATTAATATTGATATGATAAAGCACATATTTTGTAGTTTGATGAGCATAAAAATAATATGTATGGCAAAATTATCTGTTTAACATATAACTTTAAGAGGAACAGTCATGTTGCGTACAGTTCTCACTGCAATTAATTTTGAACATTCTGTGGATACAGCCGTCCAACTATACTTGCCAATAGGAAATACTTCTTCTAATGTCTTTTGAAAAGTGACCAATAACGATAAACATAAACCATCATTAGAGCCTTCCGGTTGGCCACAATGTTCAATGCTCAATACTCCATGAGGCTTATGCAGAGCTACATCAGCACCAAATATTTCCTAAAAAAATGATATTAATTATAATAACTGCTCATATAATAAAATATTTGCAATTACAGTCATAAACTTGCGTAATGTCGAATGCAAGTTCCGATTRTGGTTGATTTCACACATCGGAAAATGGGCTTGAGTTTTTTCTGACATAAGCACATATAGTTTAGCACTGAAATAAATAAATAATCATTAATGAGGTGGGTATGAAAATTGGTACATTTAACCCACCTAGTTTTTTGTCGAGCACAGATAAGAAGACGTAACAGAAGTTTTTTATGAGGTTTAATAACAGGCAAAATATTATGGTGCCAATCATTTCGAACCTTATGCTGAGCTACTTTGTGAAAAGCTCGACCACATTCAATCAATGGTATTATGTCATTGGAACGAAGAGTGACCTAAAATTGAAAAAATGTGATAATAATTCATTTCTCCATACTTGACCAGRTTTTCATACTTCAGAAATATTTTTAATCCACTTGGCTTGTAGAGATTCACTATCAGCTTGGGCTGGTGTTTTCAAACAACCGCCAGTAACATTTCCAGTGAAAATAAATCGAAACCATGCTTTAGATGCAGCTTCAACGGTCAACAATGTATCAAGCTCCATTTCTAACCCTGTTTCTTCTAAGCATTCTCTTTTAACGGCATCCTATAAAGTAGCATATTTTTAATTTTGTTAATGCTGAATTTTCTAAGTATATTTTTATATATAACAGACTTTTAAATTTTCACCAGGTTCAACACGACCYGCTGGTAGGTACCATTGACCTGCACAAGTACTTTTTGCTTCTTGCATCATGAGCACTTCATCTTCGCTGTTGATTAGTACTACTAGCACAATATATGTAACTGTGCTTTTTGTGACAGGTACATAGTCAGAAGGCCCAATGGGTGTCACACCTTTAGCCACTAGAAACATAAAGATTTGTGGATTTTAATTAACCATACAGTATACTCTTAATGGTCAGTTGTAACTATAAAAATACTGTCCCACAGCTTCTAATATTAGATACGTTATTTACGTAATATAAATGTATGAGATGTTYTGATAATAAATCAAGTTTAAAATGTTTTAATAACGGTTGTACATCTTGTACACTAATTTAATGTCACAATATTTCGAGGAATTCACTATTATACATGAAACCTCCGCCTTTCAGATGTTCTATATCGTTCGATCGTGTCAACAACAATAATTTTTATTTATAAAACACAATTAAACGATGTCATTACCGCAAGCTTCGTTTTGATCAGCCAACGTGAAGTCGCATAACTCATCGTTTTCGTCCAAAGCTTCACCACGCAACAACTTCATAACCGTTGCTTCTAACGTTGCCATCGTGTACACGTTGATCGATTACTGCTATATAAAGCGTTCTCAAGACGAAATATTTTGATTAAATATGTCCTACGTGTCCACTCGTCATGGGGGTCGATGAACACAGAAACCGATTTCCTAATAAAAAAGAGAAATCGCGGGACGACGTAGAGCTCTGGTCGCCTCTGGGGATGATCTACTCTACACGGTTGTCGAATGGCCTTGGACCGAACACCTTAGGTATGCGACAGGTAGTGTCTAGGGGTGCAGTGGGTGCACGAATACCACTTTGCAGTCGCCTAATCGCCTTGGTCTGGCGTTCGATCCATTGTCATCGTAGTTTGCTTTTTGCTCACTGGCGGGCACTGCTACGTCATACGTGTACAATGTATCATAAAGCATTTAATCGTAAATTCACTTTTATTTAGGTGATCRACGTTCATCATCAACGATAACCGAAGAGTAATGAGTAGGAGGAAAATAAGTAAGAATTGAGAAGGGGTTTAGTGGTCAGATACTCTAGTATTGGACGTATTGGTACTTGGTAGATATCACTAATTATTAATTATTCACTATTCAAAGTATTTCGGAATTCAGATCCCAGAAATCTGATAACAATAAATGATTTTTTGGGAGATTAAAAAATGTGCACATTGTTTATCACTATCGAATAAAAATATCAAGGATACATTTATAATTATTAAATACAATCATTATTATTATTTTTATCCTTAAATCCTAGATAAATATAAAAATATATTTTAACATCTTTAATTCGTGCGTCAGACACGGATTATTTTAAAATATGGACCCTCATTTTCAGATATTTTATAAAAGTTGGATAATTATTAAAAAATTATTCATCTTTTACTTATAAGTATATACTATATAAGATTAATTAAAGTCGAGCATTGGCTTGTTATAACTTATAAGTCAATAAAGCCAGACGTGAGTGTATGACCTCTTTTTTTTCGTAAAATTTCGCTATCCCAGCATAAACTTCAAGTTAGTAGTTACAATTGTGCTAAAATGTATTTTTCATTACGGCAACACTGTAACACTAGTAAATTGTATTCAAAYAGTCCGTTACAAATCCCGAGTTATATCTTGGTAACTGCCTATTGCCTATTGACTATTGAGTTTGAGACGTTTGAGTATAAAATAAACTAATACGCAATTCCCTAATGCCATCTGGCATCTGCTCGTTTTCTATTAACATATTCCATATCTATTGTAGGTATTAATTAAAATTAAATTATAATTTTTTCTGTACACAGATAGTATAGACTAGTAGCTTATCGTTATTTTAATTAATCATTAGAAATTTAGAACTAAGAAGTAAGAGGTGTAAATAGAGGTTGCTCGTTATTCTCAGACCACGGTTGACATTTTGAGAACATTTAAGTATAGAAGTCATTGTCGTCACTTTCTAGTCGCTAATCCTCAGGTATCTATCAATTTTCCAAATAGCAAATGCTGCTTGCAGTATTATCGATATTTAAATATTTGAAAACTTATTTATAAATAAATGTGCCCTTCTTATTTAGACATGTCGAACATTGTGGAAATTCCAGATCCGCGATCGCCTACTGCTGCCTTTGTCAGAACTCCATTACGTGTAAGTATACTATGTCCTGTTTTTTTAAATACAAATTAACCTGTCATTTGGTAGTCGRAAAGACTGCAATTCTTTTTTACTTATTACATATTAACTTTATTATTTTGCTCGCAATTTAATCACTTCATTACAATTAAAAAAACCTTATATGAAATGTATTCCTAAAATTCATAAGAAAAAATCAGACAAGTTTTATGACTATAATATTGGAGTCAGATATTCAAATTTAATTCATTTGTAAAATGTCTTAGATTATTTTTTCAATTATGTTATTTAGTATATATAGTAGGTATATAAAATAAACTCAGTGTCTTCAACATTGATTTTTAATAATGACCTTAATCATTATGAATAATTAAATTGTTATCTTGATGATAATCCACGAGTTTAATAATCAAGTATGATTTTTGTAATTAATGTTTTTACCTATTTATATTACAATTAATAGGTAGTCAAAATGATAATTGACGAAGAAAATATATCTACAGAGACACGAATAAACAACGAATTATTTGAAAATGCTTTGTCTGGAAATCAACTGATGTCAACACCAATTATTAGTAATACTTATGATACAGATGATTCATTCCATTCAGCAGTTGGTGAAAATGATAATGAACCTCTTATAAGCAGTACAGACTCTAAAGGAATGAAAGATAGTAGTAAGAAAAATAGAAGAGCACTTGGATGCATTAAAAATCGTCTGGTCGAAACACCCAAAACGGATATGCGTCGTAAACTTTGGCGTAACATGGAAGATGAAAGAGTTAGAAAAGGAGTTAATAATGGAATTGAAAATACACCACCACTACCCTTTATGGATTTGACTGCTTCAGCTCCTCCAAAGTTATATAGATACCGCAAGTTTACATAAGGTTTTTTTTTTTTTAATTTAATTTTCATCAAATTTTGATTTATATCACCACTCACTATAAAATTTTCAATTTGTTATTTTACTATATCTTTACTTTTTTCATTAATCTAGTAGCATATGATAAACTGTTGTAACCCATTTTCACTTTATACGCAAATTTAATTTTATCACATCAATATTTGTAATATACTAGTCCATGTACATTTTTTACACCTTAAAGTCAACATTATTAATAAGATTATTATGTATTTTTTTTTTTTTTTAAATGAGTTATTATTTCATTTTTTTGGTTTTAATATATTAGTGTGTAATATGTTTGAGTCAGTGTTTTTAAACATAACTTGATATATACTATATAGTATGATAACATTGAAATACTTTAATAACCCTTGGTTTTATTTACAATGCCACGAATGCTTAAAAAAAAATTATGTACCTACAAGGTTTTTTAAAAATCATAATTTTAAATGATCATAAAGCAATTTATTCTGTGGTCATATGCTTATTATAATTCAATACTCTATAAATTCAGTAGCATTGATACATTTTTTCCTGGGAGTAATAGTAATTTTATATATTATAGTTCATTTGTAAATTACTGATTATTTTAAATCTTAATGCCTGCTATTATCTATTATTTAGTATTAATAATAAATTAAATAAAATACTGGTTGATTATACTATGGTCGCTGCTTATTAGATAAATTGGGACCAGACCATTTGAATAATTGAATCCATTAATCGAATAAGCCAACAAAGCCCCAAAAAAATGTATAATATTAAAAATATGTGTAAGTATTTAATAGGAGAAATTTTGTTTTATTCAAAATATAGTAATAATTAAATATGCTAAGTAGCTAATTAATTTTTGATTAAAACTCCTTTYGATTTTCCCTATTTAGGTTCAAAATGACTTCAATTGGTGTGCGAGTCTAWAAGAAATTCTTTGCTGTATAAGTAATAAGTATACATATAAATTGGAACTGGAAACAACTGTTTGGAGTACAGTGACCACTATATRTATTTTAATTGCCAAAATATACTAAGTAATAAATCAATTTTAAATTATCTAAATAATTGTCAAACTTAAGTTACATTGATATTTGTAATTTTAAAATTAATTATACAACTACATTTTCAGATATTTGTAATTTCTTAGGTGTGGTTTAAATATTAAAAAAAAAACCTTTAATGCAAATGTATTTACACATATTCTGATAAAAATTGTATGCAATTAAACCAGGTAATTGGTTGGTATGACAAAGATAAATTTCAGACTTGTCTTATTTAAAACCATAGTTCAAAATGAAAATGATTTATATAAATTAAATGAATTATTATTATTTTACATAGAATATAATAATAATTGTTTGTATTAGTAGTACAGGAAAACCATTTAATTGAATTCTAAAATTGATATTAAATTTAATCATTAGTATTGATTTTCCATATGAGTATATGAATTATTAAGACGAAGACGGAAGTACTTGTATGTGGAATTTACATGACGGCATTCTAATTATTTCAACTGTTACAATGCTTGAAATTCCAAAATTTTCTAGAGCTCCTCGAATGAGACCACAAGTAAATGTAGCATACTATACAAAATTTTACAAGATTAATTATAATTTTTCACAATATAATAAGTGTTCATATATTTAACACAATTTACTTTGGGTGCAGATTTAAGGTACTGCGTTCCATTTGACAGTTTACTAAAAAAGCGAAACTCGTTGTCGTGCAATACATAGACACCTTGATGATTGGTTCTTAAATTATCCACCTGCTTTTTATACACACATGACCAAAAGTCTGTACATATAAATTTTAAAACTTCTAGCTCTTCTTTGTACCTTGGCAGTTCTTTTGTTATTCTAAATCAAAAGTAGACAGTTTCACAATAATGCTCAATAGTTATAGATAATACTTCTAATAAAATTTACCTTTCAATCAGTCGCCAACCACAAGAATAACCCAAGTGTTCTAATATTGATAAATCCTCGTCCTATACCAATTATAACAATTGTTGTAAATAAATTATGAGAAAAAAAAATGTTATTCCACTCAAAAGTAAAAAACATTAAATCATATTTTATTAGAACGTTAGTTGTACAATAATTACCTCAGAGGACTTGGACACTAAATACGATACAATTTCTGAGTGTAACAAATCAAATAAAACGTCTTCTGCAGACATTTCTCAACAATTATTTTAACGAGAACCCAAGGTTGAAGTATGGCTTTTTTTTTAAATTGATGATTTGCAATTATCTGTAGTCAGAGTAACTGTACAAAATTAATAGTTTTAAACACTAACAAGTAGCAAAGTAACGACTGACGATTGAATGCTTAAATCATTCAATTGGTATAAAATCAATGAAGATACTTGTTCTATAATTTAATTTATRAGACGTACAAATTAGTAATTACTATTTATTTAGTAATTATTAACTATAAAATATACTAAATAGTAACAACACTAACAACTAGTCGGAAATTATAATCTTTAATTATTGAATATACTATCACAGATATGAAGAATAATGTTATTCTGTGATATTAGCAATATTAGATATATGTTATATTTTGGTAATATTATCAGATAACAATAGGCTTTAGTGCTTCAATATTATTAATTTATTATTACTCTGTGGCTTCAATGCTTCATTCATTGAGTAATTATTATTAATCCATAGCTCTATGCCCACAGATATATATACATGTGTTCATGCCTTCATCCATGGCCAATGGCTATAACTTCCAAAATAATGGTTTCCCCAAATTTATTTTTGCATAATCGTTCTYAACTCGTTAAAATACATTTGAATCGATAAATAAAATCAAAAAACATGCAGGGTAGCTCAAGTGAATTTGTTCCATTGCATTTTGAAAATTTTACATAACCATATTCTATATATTTATAGATATAATAATATAATATTTATTTTTACAGCGTTTCTCAACTAGGGGTTCGCGACCATCTCGAACACCTTGACTTGGGGCGCGTAAGTCAAAAATAATAAAACACTTATTTAAAATTGATTTTGATAATGATAGGATATCTTAACCGTTCAAATTTTTACCTATTATAGATGGAGGGGGTCGCGAAGTGGTTGACCATATTTTATACTTATTTTGGGGGTCGCGACCATAGGCGTAAATTGGGGGGGGGCTTAGCCCCCTAAAAAATAGTATAGCCTTGTTATAAATTTCTAATGTTATAAATTATAATCTTAGCGTTAGCCCCCCCCTTCTAGCAAGCCAAATTTACGCCTATGATGGTCGCGACACTAAAAAGGTTGAGAAACGATGATATTTACTGTTTTATTAAATCAAAATCACGAATATAGGCTAATTATTTTGTAGGTAGAAATTTATAAAAATTTTTCTTCTTTTTATATTTAAGATTTGAAAACCAAATGCAAGAAGAAAGAAAAAGAAATTCAATTTTTGAAGTTCAAATTATCACGAAATTCAATACTCACCCCGTCATCCGTTAACTGAAAATTTCTCATCGAATGATTTTATTATTGAGTAAATTTATATTTTATTCATAAATAATATGTTACAGTAACATTTTTACTAAATATTTAACTTTTCATTTTCTGTATTTACTTATTGATTACATTTTCAAAATATTTTGTCTTTTTGAGTTATATAATGCAAATATTTAAATTTTTAAATAAAACATATTTTTTTAGATACGTTAGTGTAAAGAAGTAATGTAAAAATACCAAGTAAGTACCAAACAATCATTGAGTAAATATAAGTGATGCAGTAAGTAAGTAATATATAGACATATAGTAYTATAGTATATGTAGATAATATTTTTTGGTAAGCATATAGACCTATATTTTATTTTTTTGATTCTCAAAATATGCATTTGTCTGTGGGTGTTCAGTGTCCACAGACCTCTTCTAATATTTTTTTATCATACATTTGCTTATTCTTGAACTTGTAATGTTAGTTTTTGTTAGCTTTTCATTTAAACATCGTTTTAAAAATTCTTTATCAATTTCATTGAATCTTGGGATCGTAGTCTTGTTTCCTTTTCATACTTATATATTATGAACCCCAAATCCCTTTTTTATTTTATACTTATTTTAAATGTATTCATGAATCTTTTTATTTATCATATTAAGTTGAATAGTTTTTTATTTGCTTTTTGAAATGCATTTTCAAATGAGTATAATATACACCATACACCCGTGTTTATCTATAATGTTTTTGTCATTTTTGTAATTATAAATAATATTCTTGTATATTACACAATTTTTGGTTTTATAATCTCTCCCAAAGAGAGCTATAATTAAAATGGAAGTAATACCTCAAACAATTTCAAAATGATAGGACTAGTTACCTTTACCTAACAGTATCACAACCAAGTTATATAAATAATACGAAAAATAGCGGGAACACAGTGAAGATGTCATCTTAGAGATGATATTATGATATTTGTTGTAGAATATGGTTTGAAGGAGAAATGTTTACCTACATGTTAATTTTACACAGTATGATAGTATAATGATGATGTTAAATGTTAATATAGGTATTATCATGAACTAAGATAATGGGTATAATTTTTTCTTAGTTCATAGTTAAATTCGAGGAATATAAATCCGCCTTGGTATATTATTATTTATTTATTATTACTGTATTAATGCTGAATATCAAAAACGAGGATAGGTAAATCTACATTCCTACATTTTATACATTTATATATTTTCTAAGCAACTGGATTTGTATATATTTTGTACACGTAATCAGGTTGTTGTTGAGTTTATATTTTTATAAGTTAATTTTCAGTTTTCAATGTGTTGAAAAATAAATATAATATTTAAGATTTAACAATATTATTATATATTTATTATATGGGAGATTTATATTTACAACATTAATATTATTGGAATTTTTAAGAATTCACTAGTTTGGCAGCTTGGCAACACTGCAATCGTTCAAGAGATAAAATATGTTGAAAATGATAAAATGATATAATTTTCGTGCAATTTTTTTACACATTTTAAAAAGTAAATAATGGATTATTTTTGTTTAAAATTACCCAAATCGTACTAATGAGTAGTTTTTCTCACTATACTGCTTCCAAAATTAATTTCATTGATGACGTGTTGTAGCGAAATTGTTTGTAAGYGTGTTTTCCGTTACTTAGTTTCTAGTATTTCATTTGGTTTTTTTTTGTTTCCTCACAGTTTTACAGAATCCAATTCTTAGATAATGGCAAGTGTCAGGGACAGTGACATATCTTTATGGTTGCACAATAAATTGGGCACAACCAGCGACACATGGATTAGTGGCTCGATATGTACACAATTGACATCCGATGTGTTGCGTAATATAAAAGATTGCTTCCCCGATCTACAAACCCAAGTAAAACTCAAACTGTTACTATCATTTTTTCATATTCCAAGAAGAAATATTGCAGAAGTAATGATTTATTTACATTGTACTCATTGTAGTATGTGATTTTTTCTTAACAATGTTTATTTTAAATRTAGTGGCGAACAGAACTGGAAGAAATCTTAGAAGTCGCTTGCGTAGATAGTGAACAGTGGGTATCTATGTTAGCCGAAATGATGAAAACATTCCCATCAACCGGTAGTCTAAATGTAACAGAATTTTTTCATAATGAAGACAATAACAGAATATTTAATGATTTAATTACAGATTTAAAAAAATTAGGTATGAGTTGTGTACAGTTAATCTTTTATTCTAATTTAAAACCAAGTTATTATTATGCATTTTATGTGTCTGTAGTACGAAAAAATATGGATTACACAATGTTGCCTTTAGAATGTCTTTATTTGAACAAAAATGCTTTAATTAATGTCGTGGGACAACCGGTAAGTTATAATAGAAACAAATAATTAATTAATTATTTCTTCATTTTGATATTTAATTTATTAAATAGCTTTACTACTAAGATAATAATTATTTGTCAGTGTTATTTATATTATGGTTATAAAATTGACTATCTAATTCCAATATGCCAAAAATGTTMATTATTCATATATGAGTTTATTTGTCATGAGCTAAAAWTTTTTTTTTAATTGAAAAATTAAAATATCAATGTTTGACTTACATCTTTTTATGAAATAATATTYATTAAAGACTTAAACCAAAAATTAAAATYTTAACCCTGACCAAATTTGTATGCATTTATTGGCAAGGTAAATACGCTAATTTGCGTCATTCTGCACATTTGAGTTTAAAAACACCATTTGGAATCATTTGCAGTACATAATCTTATATTATTCAGTGACATACTAATAAACCAATAATTAATGTTCAAAAACTACTTGCTTGCTAGATTTTTTACATATTATTATGGGTGGAACATATTAAAAATAAATAATTATGACTCAAAGACTGATGCCATTATCTGTGATCGTAGTTAATACCTAACTTATAAGTCTTTACTCTTTACAACTATTTAATTTTTTTTAGTTACTTTTAAAAATTACTTCTATTTCTTCAATATTACTTGCTAATATTAATTTTGCTTACATTACTAAATCAAATCAAGTTTTTAAGAATTTTAAATCTTTTTATAACAAATTGTTTTGTTATTGTTTGTAGCCTACTGCAATAAAGCATTTCAACTTAAAAAGAAAACCCAAAGCAGCAGCTATAAAAGCTGAACTTTTACAAAAAGCTGCTGATGCAGCTAATCATATTAAAAAGCATGCAGCTCCCACTGTTCCAGTACGATCRAGGGGCATGCCTCGTAAAATGACTGATACAAGTAATTCTATATTAGTCAATGGTTCATTACTAATTATCCTTACTATAAATATTTATTATGTTTGCAGCTCCCTTAAAAGGCATACCAAGCCGCTCAATACCTAGTGGTGGATTCCGTTCTAATCCTGTAAATAGCACTATGGCTACTCCTGCAAGACCGGGAGTGCGTAAAGACTGTGGTATTAAAATATTAGAAATAACTGAGCAACCTATAGGTTATGCTCAAGCTAAAAAGCGTAAGAAGGCTGGTAAGTTAATTTTGTCAATTTTAATTTTATTCAAAATGATTAATAATTTATGGCGTCTTTCAGAAATGGAAGAAAATAAACGTCTTTTGGAAGCTAACAATATATCAACTTCTGGGACAACTTGTCAGCCAATTACTAAAACTGAAGTTACATCCACAACACCAGACTATGCTGCTGGTTTAGCTCCTCTAAACCCACCAACTCCAGCACCATCTACACCTCAACATGTACCTAGTTATATAGCGCCTGCTACGCCTATACCAGCAGAACCTTTAAATGAGCCTGCAAGTATGTGTAACCTTAAAAATCGTTACAACTTCTTTTTTTACCGTATTTGAAAGTATTTTTTCCTCCTATGATATTATATTAATTGATATGGACATTTTAAGCAAATAAAATTAATAAATTACAATTTTTTTTATTTGATTATTATTCTGACAGTCATCTTAATGACTAATATATCTAATT